ACAAGTAATCTTGTCGTCTAGGACAGAACACCGTCTGATAGGTTGAATGTCAACAAAAGTTTCGGAGGAACACGTTGCCTCCATCTTCACAGTCGAAGAATGAGCCAAACAAGAAACAAACACGAAACAGGAAGGAAGCAGACGCTGAAAATGAAGGCGACATATTCCTCCGAAACGTCGATTGAGTTTCAGCGGACTACATATCGCTATATGCCATTATAACTACATAATATTATAAGTACCACTGTGAGAATATAAAATTAGGTATATTAAAATTTGCTTTCCACATCGCAGTACAACAGCCGTTCAAACCACTCTGGTCACGCCTGTTGCTATACGAACTAGAACCATCTCGAGCATCATTTGCTCTGTGCTTCAAGTCGCTGCTGATGACGCTGCTTCTGGCATCAGTTTTTGGTTTTTGGTGTCTCCCTCCGTCTGATGTCTACCCTTTGACCTGTCCAGCAAGGGAGGCCCTGCCAGTATCTACGCTTCCGCTGGTAGACAAAACAAACCAGAGGGGCGTATAGAAATGACCAGAAGACGAGGAAGAAGACGTAAGAAGATGCTGTATGACTTTGGGGACAGAAGAGGATATTTTTATTTGAAGGAGAAAGCTTGAGATCGCATTAAGTGGAGGAACTGTTTTGGAAGAGACTGTGGACCTGCCGTCTGACAGATTACTGATGAATGAATATTAAAATTATTTTCTAGTTTCTGGGAACTGTCATTTTTGTAAGCTGCTTTCTCTCCTAATTAAAAGCTCGGTGAATATATGAAATATAAACTAGATTAATTGTATCAGACTTACAGAGAGAATTACGGCTTTCAGAGATGAACGAAGGGAACCTGCCAAACGATTTATGTAAGTCACATGACTGCGCTAAATATAGTTTTGGATTGGACTCCGCAAATGAAATGGAATAAATAAAAAAGTAGATTGATAGCACGAGATTTTAATAGGCACGGATGTTCCTCTTTGTCGTCATTTTGCAAGCTGATGTTCAAACTGACATTCTTCCTCGAGAATAAATCGGATTAATTCCAAAAAATACGTTTGACTTTCTCTTAATTTAAATATCCCAAATGTGTTTGATGACAGCAGCTCGAATGGCTGAAACAGGTCTGTCTGTGTGTGTGTGTGTGTGTGTGTGTAAGAGAGAGAGAGAGAGCTGGTGCTTATTGGGGAAGGGATTTTGTAGTATCAAGTTTACACAGAAATGAATGGTGTCATAACTGATGAATAATGAATCAGAAAGGATTAGAAAGCAAGGCGTCGTGTCCTAATCCAGGTACTGAGTCGGGGTAGCTCAGTTCATATGGCGACTGCCTACTAGCTGGACGCCTGAGGGATCGGAGCTCGAGTCCCGGTAACGGCAAGAGTTTTCTCCTCTCCAAGTCATCCAGACCGGTTCTGGGGCCCACCCAGCCTTTTATCCAGTGAGGACCGAGGGTTCTTTCTCTGGCGGTAAAGCGATCCAGACTTGAACCTCAACTCACCTCAATCTAGTGACGAGGTCAAAGATACGTGGATCTATAAAGGCACTCCCCCATAAGTCTTCATAACATAGTGCTTAATTAGTTAAGCAAAGGGACAACTTTAGATTTTCTATCCCAGAAGGACTGTCATGAAAACACTCCGACGGCTTAGTCGGTTCCCGGGACAAGAGTCGAGCCGAAAGCATTCCGCATCTTACTACTGCGCCAGCGAGCTCAGTGCAAAAACAAAATATTTCGAACAAGAGATGAAACTTCTATAATTCAGTTCAATTCAGTTTTTATTTACGTGAAACTTAACAGCCCAGAGGCCAATTACAAAGTTAGCACAAGTATGTAGAAAGAAACAAGAGGAAACTTGCAAACAAAATACAAAATAAGGCAATTTATATAAAGTTAATTATTCCTGTGCTTAACTAATTGGTCACTACGGAGAGTTGATGTATTCTTGACCTCGGCATTATTTGGAAGTAAGTCGTCAGCTTCACGCCACGGCCGCTTTACCCCCAGGGAAAAAGCCCCTGGTACCCATTGGATAGGAGGCTAAGTGAGCCCCAGAACCGGTCTGGACGACATGGAGAGCAGGAAATTCTAGACCTTATGGGAACTATGCGAACCCCTCAGTCTTCCAGCCCGCAGCCAGTCGCTATACAGACTGAGCTATCCAGGCTCAAGGCAGTTTATATAATGATAATAATTCCATGATTTGGGGCTCAATTAGTCTTCACTGCACATCGAGGACTTTTCCTTTGATATAAAGATAGCCGGAACACTTACCTTCATCTTGCACCAAGTTATTCCACAAAGCCTCTATAGCTCTCCATGTCGTACAGCTTATGATCAGAGATAGTAAATAAATTCAAATGTTTCGTATATTACAGCGGTATGGGCCTCAAGGTATTTGTTTTTAATATTATTCTTAATGGCGTGAGACTGAGTCCACTTGGTACTGCGGTCACTACCGGCCTATTGTACCAGCTCCAGATGATAGGTGAGGGTGATTGTGGAGCAATTGGTGGAATAAAAACTGGCATGAGAGACCGAAGTACTTGCAGAAAAAGTTCCCCAGCGCCACTCTGTCTGCCATAAATCCCACATGGCCAGACCCAAGCTCGAACCTAGGACGCCACTGGGAGAAGCCGGCGAATAACTGCCCGAGCTATGGCGCTGCCCAGTCTCAAGGTGAATCTGCATGTTAACCATAGACAGTTGCCAGCGGTAGTATAGAAAATGGTAAGTTTCTTCTTCGCCAGACATGTCTGTAATGAAACGCCGGAATAAACGCATTCAAAACTCTTTGGCCTTGAACAGAACATTATTTCAAATACCTCTTCCGCCGTCACGACTTAGCTCAAAACAATTCTGTCTGCATTCATAGCCATGTTTAGAATTGCGTCCTTAAATACCTGTACCCAGCATACGGGAGAGAAATTTATGTGGCTTAGCCATAGTCCATTTCTTTTGGGTTATATCTTTCCTCTGAAATCATCCATTCCTCCAGCTAATAAATAGATATTAGACAATTCTGTCTCATAGGAAATAACGTCCTGTTGTCTGGTAAAATTCAGCCGATTTTTCAGGGTAACATGAGCCCTACATCTTCAAATTTGATTCAGGCTGGTTTCTTGCCTTCTTTGCTCTTTAGACCTGAAGATGGAGGCAATATGTTCCTCCGAAATATCAGCTGACTTCCACCACAATACATGGCGTCATATCGCACAATTCAACTCTTTATAACCATCGCTGTGAAGACCTCAAACACACAGCTTCATCTGCAAGTTGTCCTCAGCTTAATTAAGCATCACACCATGAAGAGTTTGGGGCCGTTCTTAACCTCAGCATTAGACTGAGGTGCCCCATATCCCACTGGACCGGAGGCTGGGTGAGTCCAAGTTCAGGTCTGGAGGCTGAACAAGGAAAATATCACTCCCATCTGTCGGGAACAGAACTCCCAACTCCTGGTTGCCCAACACATAACTTACAATAAGCTATAGCTCCTACAGTACATCATAGGTTTTAATTTCTTTTTCTTAACGTGTACGCCCATTAACACTCCTTAGTAGTTTAATTTCGCTGTCAGAATACTGCCAGAATTTATGTTGAGATTACTTTTTTCGATTATGACGTCGTATAGTTTCGTGGATGGTTATAACCTCACCGAACCGGAATCTTAATTTTAAACGCCATGAAAATCTCTCAAGACTAACTTCCTTCCTCTGTAAGCAGTCAAGTGCTATTATTTTATAAAAAGTTATGTTATCTTTTTCATTCATATTATCACAAGATGGGGGACTATAGACGGAGTTTGGATTATTAATCGGATTTATTGGACAGTTACACTCGTACCTACAAATATCTACAACTGTCTCTCTGCGTTACACATTCCAAAGATCACTGTAACTACAATACGTATAAAGGGTTCTCAGTTTTCACAAGCCGCTTCTTGGTAGCGGCTTCCAACGACGAACGTTCCCTTCCTTTGTGTTCCCGAACTGTCCCGTCCTCAGCTATCAACTTCTCACTTCTCACAATGGTAACTTTCAACTGATCAACTCGGTTGATCAGTCGGTTAAACTGCTGCTGGGCTTCGCCAGCACAGTCATTCCTTACTTCAGTTTCCTCAAGATTCATGACAAAGTTTTTTATTCTCTCTTAGACATGTACGCGTTTCAAAATGGGGCCTCCTCTTCGACGAAAAAGGGGTCAGTCTTTCTATGTAGGAGCTACGTTTGTTTCACCGTAGTTTCAGCACGAGTATATCCGCGCTGTCACGGCGTCCAAGTCACTATGGACTCTGTGCGTCTTTGTCACTGCACTGTAATAAGTAACTTTTATACAAAGTATACAAAGGTTAGCTCGCACAGAAAACGTCTCTTCCATTATTGCGTGCTCTCTCGTTGCCGTTATCTAGCAGCGGCTGTTGTACTGTCGCCTGTATACACAGCTGTTGTCAATGGGTCTACATGTCATAGTGTTTTTATTTCGTGTCCCACATTCCATTACATTGAATGTAATTAATACTGAATATTCTCTTCCACATTTCCTGTCACATAATTCTAAGAAGTTAATAATTTTTATTATTATATTCTTCAATCCAAGACTCTCCGACCCATTCTGAACGCACCTTGGTACATAAACAACCACAGGACCCATGAAGATCCACAAATGAACACAGTGTTCAGTGAAATAAAGAGTGGAATACCAAACACTTAAGAAAATCAGAAAACCACACTAACGCACCAACAGTGAACCTACTAGACAATAGCGAAATTACACGTAGACTGAAACAGAACACCGTCCTAACTCTACCAGACAGGCCTGAGTAAAACCCCAATACAAGAAATAAAATGATACCTAAGTAAACAAAACAAAAAAAAAGGGTATATAAGTTACTCAACTGGGCATAACTCATTCACGAGCCAGTACTTATTGAACACGTATCTTTACTGCAAATTCTGCAGATTATATATAATGAATGTAACAAATAAAATATTATATTCTAGGATGTAATGACATGCAGTCCAGCAAAAGATCACCGACGTTTCGGACGAAGGTACTGTCTCCATTTTAAGACTCTAATTTCCACCGGCTTCTTGCTGGTTGTTGCATCGTAAACGTAACAGGAATATGAACAGTGTGTTTTGAACAAATGTTTACTTTTCAGTCATTACTCTCCCATGAAACTACAGATGATATGAATCGATAACGTACACTTGTTCTAATGAGATGTTTATTGTGTAAACATAACTTCGCTTACAAGCGAAATAAATGTAGGTCAACAGTTTTCAGTAACTTTGCAAGTTAAAAAAATGTTTAGTTTATAGCTTAATTGTCTCATGAATATTACTTGTAGGTTAGTATCCTTGTGTACCACCTATTTAAGGAAATGTGTGCATCTGCTTGTCTGTGAGCATAAAATAATTCGAGAACAACTGAAGAGATAGTCATACAATTTGATACCAGAGAGTTTCATTAACTTTTTCGACGCGCCCAAATTATCAATAAAGCTAGAAGACATTCATTTCTGGGCATAAAAGGGTAAAGGTGTCCTTGTAAAAGGTCGTGGAGACCCATAAGGGTGTTAGAGGTTGAGGGTCCCACAACTTCTACTCAATCGGCTCACAGATGGCGGTGAGGTTGTCAGCCTTAAGCGCCCGCCGCCTTTTTTCCCCTTGGCACTACAGCCCCAGTGGGCCTAGGCCTACCGCCATGAACTTCTCCGTTCACTTCGGTTTTTCTAGATCTTACACATACGGTAGGACTCCTTGGGCGGGTGATCAGCTCGTCGCAAGGCCTCTACCTGTACACAAACATCAATGCCCCGAGTGAGATTCGAACCCACGATCACGGCTTCCGAGAGAGCGAAGACAGTGCATGCCTTAGACCGCTCGGCTACCGTGACCGGCCCGCCGCCTTTTACCCCCCAGAAATCTTCCTGATACTCATTTCTGTTAGAGGCTGAGTCGAACCCAGGACCACATTACGGTTGGAAGGTTTACGCGAATTGAAAAATCCGATGACATTGGGAATCGAAACCGCGACCTTCCGTCTTCTAGCATTGTGTCTCAACCAACTACGTTACCGAGTACCCCTGCTTTTCTGCGCTGATCTCAAATATAAATCTTTAAACATTTATCGCAAAGGAAAATGTTTTGGATAAAAATTATAGAGAAAACTGTTACATGTATTTTATTTACAATACATTTTTCCCACAAGTTCTACGGTTTTCGAAACATTTAAACAAAAATTGTTAAGCTACACGAGCATATCCAAAATTACGAAGGGTTCTGTCTTCTGGGATATAACGCCATGTAGGCTGCTGAAAGTCAGCAGACGTTTCGGAGAAGCACGTTTTCCTCAATCTTCAGGGTCCAATAATAAGCCAAGAAAGATTTTCTTGGCCACATTCTCCTCCAAATTGTCTGTCTATACGGCGTTATATCCCCAAAAATATGGAACTCTACATAAATCCCATTTTCCTAAATTGTATATTAAACAATATGCCTTGATATTCCGAAATCACTTGACAAAACAGTCAATTGCCGTTTTCTAAACATGCTCAAAGAATTCCAAGATATCTTATCTGAATATTAGTTAGGCCAGACAAAGATTCCTTGCGCCTGAATGTGTTGGCCTACATGCATAGAAGTAACCTATATTTATAATTGAAATAAAATTTATTACTGTCACGTGTAGGGGTGACTACAGACGGAGTTTGAATTGGTGAATGGATTTATTTGCCACTTTACCACACGACTCGGAATTACAAGTAATTACAGCACCATTGCTTGTCCCCACACTTTACAAATCGCTAGAGCACACAGTCTAGTGCTGTCAGTCTGTTACTAAACGTTTCCTGGCAACGACTCCAACAGTGGAGAATCTTCAGATTCACGCGCTCATGTCCTCTCTTCACAATCTCCAATACAGAACTGAACTATCAATTGACCTTGTCCTTTGTTTATTACATCTCTGCATGGGCCATGCAGAAAACACAGCTCCTCCATTGCTGCAATCCAACTGTTGCATTATTAACAATTTCCTGTCCAGCAACGGGAACGTGTTTACGGAGTCGTTGCCCAGAATCGGCTCAACTATATCCGTCCACCTCTCTGTCGTTGCATAGCAGAGGCTCTAAACTTTACATTATATTATGGAAAAAGCTTGTGTATCGGAAACGCTCTACATTTGCATTTGTGAAGTGTTGGTTCGAATCTCGATCGGGACACTGTTTGATTTGCTTGGTCTTTCTGATTCTGATAGGAAAATGACAGGAAAATACATTGATCTGGCCACGACCGCTTCCTTTCCAATCCTTTACAATTAATATTTTATCAATTATCCGAAGCCACGTAGCCTTGGTACTAACAGCTCTGCCAAATAGCAGACTACACAATAGCATAAATTCTTTCTGAGCTCCTCTAGAGAAATACTCGTAATTATTCGAGCTTCTAGTCAAAATATCTGAGCATACAAGTTAGCATGTTTATCATTACCAGGGCCCCGATTTTTGATGACATGTCATCTTTTTTTCTTTGTATCCTATGCGATGTTCTTAAATATATATCTCGGATATGAGCTGCTGGTTACAGAAATGTAAATTTTATAGGTAATTTTTGTCATTTTTTGACATTTTTAGGTTTAAGGTCATTTTTTCATTTTGGGGGTAATTTTTTGGTAAATTCTTGGAGTTTTAAGGGTATTCCTTGTCATTTTTGGCCATTTTAGGGAATTTTTCTTCATATGTTTTCTGAGATGTGAATAACATGGAAGCGAAGTGTTCTTTCTTTTCTCCTTTAGATCATTTTTCTGGATTTATTCGGTCATTGTATAGGTCATCTCTTTAAATATTTTCAGGTCATCAAAATCCGGGCCCTGCATATTACATTTTTGGGTCATATTTTAGGTCATTTTATGGGTCATGTTTTAAATATTTTCTGGTCATCAAAATCCGGGCCCTGTTTATTACATACTAGTATTTTACAATACTGTGTTTAAGAAGTGTCTACTAATATGATAATATCTATCGAATATATCAACAATGTATTAAAGATCTCACACCTGCCATCTCTCGGAGAACTGATGTGTTGCTGATGGCGAGGTAGCCAGGCGCCGATCGATATCTGCTTGCAACAGAGGAAAGCTTCGTGTCTCCACTCAGTTTCCCCGTGACTCTGTGCCGCCTGCAACCAGCATCACATCTCTTCCCTCATTTCAAAATTACAAAGTAATATTCAAAGCGTGTAGGATCCATAAGCACAGGTGCCGAGTTGGTTGCAACACAGCTCTGAAAAGTTCGACTCATTTCAAAACATGGTGAGTACAATTAATATTTCTCACAGCTATTTCATTTTCTTTAAAATTCTATGAAGAGGAATTATTAAGAAGTTAATAGCAGCTCAGTTAGTCAAGAAAATACCCGTATTTTATGGAGCACAAATTTACTTTACCGCATTCAAAATAATACCCCACTAGAACCTATACTAATCAAAATGAAATCAGTCTGTATTCTGTTTCTTTAGGATAAATTTTAATATTATCTTCCCACATACACCTAGGTCACCCAAATTATCTCTTTCCTTCAGGGTATCATACTACAATTTCGTACGAATATTTTGTCTACCGCATGAGCCGTTAATTTGCCACTAACATTCAGCTTAATTTGGTTGCCATAATATCGAAATGGAATAAGAATGTATGGAAGAATTTACCGACTTATGATAAAGTTAAATTATAATTTAACATTTTTAAAATCATGGAGGTAAGATTAGTGGTATTTGTAACAGGTTTATATAAGTTATTAAATTAAATATGTTTTGGATTTTATGCTTGACAGAATTTAGTCTTGACACTGCTTTCTCTATACAAACTCTTCAATATCTCGGCATATTTCGGAAGCAGCCTCTCGGGGGCATCTTCGGCTCTTAACTGTAAGTTTACTCGAGAGATGTGGGGGACGCTGGGAAGTCGAGTGTCCGGAGCCTGTTGTACACTCTTTCAGAATTAAGTACGTGTCAATATATCCACATATTACATGCAAACAAATTGAATATGAGAATATTGAAATTAAATACTACAACAAATTTAAACATTTCAAGACTATCTCCAGTCATTGGATATGAAACGGAAACACCAGTTTCTGGTTCATGGAAATAAAAATATATTCATTAGGCAAATATAAATGCCGCAAAGGAAACACAGCAAATATATCAGATGTAATTTAGGAAGTTAATCTATGTAGGCACTTAAAATGGGCCATAATTTATAATTATTGTAGTAGTTACTAGAAGGATCAGAAGATGCCAACGATACGCTGCAGTGAGAGGTGCCTATGTTTCGGTGGGTACTGAAGTCTCGATCTTAGCTGTAAACATCACATGGCTTGCATACTCAGTGAAAACATGAACACTCGGTGTCTCTAAAGATCCATGAGAGAGAAATAGCAGATCAATGGCTGATTTATAGCTGAAAATCGTAGATATAAATGGGAACTGTTAAGTTTCCTTTTATAATTTTTAAAGGACATGTCATTAGTCTCGAAATAAGAGTAAAAACAGATAATGCTGATTTTATGTTTACATTTCTTCACCACGAGGCAAAATAAAATTCATAACAGGAAAGCAGCAGTAGTTTATACGTCCGTAGGAAACTCGGCAAATTTACAATTATCTGAGAATGACCGTTATTTTCTAATTACGTTTTCGAAAGAAAAACATACCGTATTTACGCATGTATAGGCCGCACATTTTTTGCCAAAAATTCAAGAGGAAAACTGGGGTGCGGCTTATATTCGAAATATTCGAAATCACACATCATTAAAAAAAAATATTCATAATTAGTAATACAGGATGTTCTACTCCTGAAATAATATTCCAAGAAAATTATTTTTTCTATAATTTCTGTCTGAAAATTGTGCTGCGGCCTATACACGCACGCGGCCTATACATGCGTAAATACGGTATGTTATTTGGAGATTTGTTTCTGCTGTTCAGTTCAGAATAATTTTACTTTCTACCACATGCCTTAAAAATGTAAAAACTGATATAATATATATAACAGCAATTTAAACTGTTATTTTCTGTGGGTGGGTGAAACTTGGTCTTTCACCATAAAGGAAGAATATACATTTCGAGTACGGAAACTGAAATATAAATCCTTGTATTCGATATTACAACCAATTATTGATAATCTTGAAACATAACTAACTGAATGTTATTAGTTATAAACTACCAACCATTCATTGTTCAGACATAATTAGAAAATAACTGGCTCATCTTTGGGGTGGGGTGGGGGGTTTCAAGTGAAAAGAAAATTACTGAATTACGTCTTCTAAAAATTGTTGCAAAACTTGAAATCAAAAAGTCAGTTCTGAATTTAACCGTTAGTTTTGTTCCTTGAGGTGGGGTGAGACTGAGTCCACTCGCTACGGCGGTCACTAACTGGCCTACTGTACCAGCCCCGGATGATAGGTGAGGGTGATTGTGGAGCAATTGGTGGAATGAAGATTGGCAAGGGAAACCGAAGTACTCGGAGAAAACCAGCCCCAGTGGAAATCCCATATGACCTCACATGAGCTCGAACTCGGGCCGCCGCGGTGGGAAGCTGACAACTAACCGCCTGAGCTATGGCACGGCCGTAGCTGACCGTTACGAATAATTCACTTTAAATCGAAACATAATAATTCAACTGATGAGAATTTCAGTTTGAGGCTGTAACAAGAACATGGGAAAATTTGCATAACCAGAATTCCACAATTCCTACGCTTCATCAAACGTTATTAGGCCGATCATGTGAGGAAGTAGATTGGTTCTGCTTGTAGCACACAGAGAGGGGGAGATGTATAAATGCAGTTTCAGCCTAAATATATGAGACCTAGGAGAAAGTCTTTAAAGAAAGATAATAATAAAATGGATCTAAAATGAATCTGGGTTTGAGGATGTGGACAGAATGCAACCAGCTCTATAGAGGAGCCGGTTCTTGCCCAGCCAAGCGACTATCACATCTCTTGCAGGACTTTGCAAGATGGGCTGAGTTATTTAATACGTGACCTTATATGCTTGATTTGTTACACATGTTACAGTATGGGTTTGTAAACTACGCTCTGGAGCTGCTTGTCGTGAAGACGTTTGGAGAAGAAACATGGGAGACAATTAAGTAAGTTGAGAAACATCTTGAACACAACGAACTGTGTACACACGTAAGCTAAAGCTACTTGTTTGGCTCTGTATTTCATTAACTGTACCTCTCTTTATTTAAGTGCATTATATTATTATTATTATTATTATTATTATTATTGTTGTTGTTGTTGTTGTTGTTGTTATTATTATTATTATTATTACTGGCACTACATCTCTTCGTGGGTCTTGGCCTGCTCTAAAAACTTTCTCCAGCCACCCTCTCTTGTGTCTTTGCTCTCCAGTTAACTACACCCAAGTTCCTCAAATCCTTCTCCCCACCATCCACCCATCTCATTATTGGTCTACCTTCCTTCATTTTCCTTTCCGCTTTAGAAACATTAATATTTTTAGAATTTCTTCATCTTCTCCCCTCATAACACGTCCTGCCCATCTCAATCTATTTATTTTAATTCTTTTGATTATATCAACATCATTAAATAAATTATATCATTCCTGATTGTAATGTCTTCGCCAGACACCATAAATTTGTACTGCTCTTAAAATATTTCTCTCAAAACCTCGAAGAAGTGCTTCATGAGCCCTGCTCAGAGTTCAGCCCTCAGATTCATAGAGCAATGTTGGAATTATAACATTTTCATACAGATAACATTTAGTGTCCCTCCTTAGTAATTGAGATTTCACCAGTTTCAACATGCCGTAATAACATCTATTTCCTTACTATATTTCTGCGTTTAGTTTTTTCTTCCAAATTATTTTTGTATACATTCTTTAATTTAATACTTAGAAATTTATTTCTTTGCATTATGAAATGATGCTGAGGAGATTAGATCGACTTAAGACTTCAGACTATAACACAGAAACTGAGAAAATTACGTAATGAGAAGCTTCATAATTTGTGAACTTCACCAAATGTAATCATGAAGAAATGGAAGAGGTTTAGCTGGGTAGAAAATGTAGCAAGAGAGAGGGAGATGGGATATGTATATACAGAGGGGTCCAAAAAAATTTATTCGCTCTTTGACAGTCAATATCTTTGGAACAAAAGGACATATAGTTGCAATTCTTGCGCGGAGAGATAGAGAGTCATTGTATGTGTTCGAAGTGACCACCATCAGCGGCTAATCAGCGTCGTCACGTGACTCATGTGACCTTCGCCATCTGTTGAGAAAACATTTACACTACACTACCGCGCAAGAATTGTAACTACATGTCATTTTGCTCCAAAGATATTAACTGTCAAAGAGTGAGTACATTTCTTGGACCCCCCCCCCTTGTATATATATACAGTTTTAATTTCACTTTATTTGAGAAGGTAAAAATCAAATTAGAGATTTAGGCATAGAGAGAGGATAAAAATTTAATAGAACTTACACAGACAGATGTGATCAGAGTGTAGCATAAAGTCATCTTCCTCAGGATATGGTCCAGAGATGGGATCATGAGGAAGTGGTAATGAGCCTTTGGTTTCCCGTAAATGTAGAAGGATATACTGACAAGTCGCCCGATTACAAACTTCTAACAAAATAGGAAACACGGAGTTAGAAAGTGTCTTAGTTCTGGTTTGTATATTTACATCTTCCAGGAAGGATGCCGAAGTGTCCATGGAAGGCCAGTTTCTGGTTCGTCAAATTTATGAAGACGAAATAACATACAACCTCATCAACGCAGCAGTAAATGTTCTACGTAAGTTACCACTAAATATTCATATTCATTGACTTAATAAATATGTAAAAAAATCGATCAAGGCGTTGCCAGGCAACAGCTCTGTAAACACGGTCCAACAAGTAACAGTAATGAAGTTCTGTTTTCTATGTCTTCCGCGCCGGGCTGCGTTGAACAACGGGGTTATGTAATATGTTTCTAAGCAAATGCTCGGTAAACATAATTCCGCATAAGCGGTGACGTCGGCAACAATAGAGACAGTGTTTTCTGTGGGGTCTGTGCAGAGTGCTTATAAGAGAAGTGAATGCAGTAACAGAGTTAGTTCAAGGGCAGTTACGAGTCAGCCGTAAGCTGGAGGAGTGAATGCAGAAGAATTTTTAGTTCCGAGATTCTAGAGCGATTGAAGACTTCATAGTGATTTGAAGTGCTAGTTTCTGTGTTCAGATCCGTTGCCAGGAGATGACTGGGAATCCTCGTGCGTGTGAAACGTTGAACTGTGAAATATGTAAATCAGCGATAGCACTGTATTTAAGTTTGATTAAGAGAACTTGTAACCAAAGTACTAATAAATCCAATCATCCGAGAACCCGTTATTTTGGTCACGCGTATCACCTACACGTGATAATACTTACTTATTTAAGTAGTACTTATTCAAGTTCCTTGTATTTAATACTCTAATTTCACTTGTTGTTTTATGTTTCGAAAAGAGACATCTCACTCTGCAGAAATAACGTACCGTGATGTTTGAAAACAGAATGTTGAAAAAGATATTTCTACATGTGATAATTAAAATAAGAAAAGACTAAACAATATTACATAATAAATGTATTAATACATTTTAATCTTCGCCTAATATTTTTATGGAAATTAAGTGAAGAAGGATAAACCCTCTCTGGGGCCCCCCTCAGCCTTCGATGTAACGCCAACCTGGGACTCTTCCGCTGATAAAGCAGCCGAGGCCTGTGAAGTTCACCTACTTATCTCCATATAACGCAGAGGTCAAAATTGGTGGAGCTACACTTCCACTTCCGCGTACGTCTTCATGGCATAGAACTTAATTAATTAAGCACAGGGACAACCTTAGGATATGTGATGTATTATTACTTGTCGTGAAATAAGTAATATTTACAGAATTTTATTCGGAAACTCCGAGAGAAACAGCGAAGAATCACCTACTTTGAATCATCGGTGTAGTCTCATTTGGGTAGATAATAAAAACTCCATATCAGATGAATATTGTGTGATGGGATGGATTACTCCAACTGGTGCTAAAGTGAAGACGAATTCTTACTATGTTGAAACCGCGGAATACAAACCGCTTTAAAATATGGTAACAGAAAGAGATCCAGTTTCCGAGTCTTCGTGTTTGGAATAACGGAAGACAATGTACAACGCCCAAAATACTATACATATTAATTAGCTTCATGCACCCATTACATTCATTCTTGTCTTGTGTTTTCAGAAATTCCAGCCAACGCAATCTTGGAACTATTCGGGAAAACCTTCTTTGAATTCTGCCAAGATTCAGGCTACGATAAAATCCTTCAGGTACTCGGGGCGACCCCACGGGACTTCCTACAGGTAAGCGAAAATATGCACAACAACTTCTGCAGATAATCTTACAAAGTAATGTATCCTTCCGCGGTGAACTTGCAAAATTTTCGCGCGCTCATTAGCTAAGATGTAAATATTTGCCGGCCAAGATTTATAGTTCTATACTCCCGCTATTTGCCGACGAAAATATTTAGAGGTATATGCATATAAAGGAGGATAATATTAAAAAAGTTCTTAAGGAAGTAGATTAGGAGAGAGTGCACTGGATTCATCTGGCTCAGGATAGAGACGATTGATGAACTGTTATGAACATGGATGTGAATCTTCAGGTTCCATAAAATCTTGGGAATTTCTTGTTTAGCTGGTCGACTATTGGCTTCTCAAGACGGACTCGTCTATATGTAGGTAGTTAGACATTAAGTTATTATTATTATTATTATTATTATTATTATTATTATGCATCATGTGAAAATGTGCAGTGTTGAGGAAGTATATCTCCACGTATTCTGAACTCGACACTAACTGTCAAGAGTCCAATAACCTAGTAATCTAGAAATGTTTGTTTCAAATTTTATTTTTCTTTGCTTCTTTGTTATTCATTCTCTTTCTTGCTTTGTTTAATGCACAGAATTGCTTTATGTTATATCTGTTTACAACCTACAGTGCAAACAGCCAATATCACATTCCAGTAAAATCCAAAAAGAAGTTTCAGAGAAACACACGCGCACTCTACCCAGTATGTGACTGAATGTCCCCTTATTTGCATGGCGCCAGAACCTTGATGCACTGCACGACCATCTGGGCACTCTGTATCCAGGGATGCGTGCCCCTTCGTTCCGTTGCACGGAGCGACCGGAAGATGGAGCCCTGCTTCTGCATTACTACTCCGACCGTCCTGGCCTCGAGCACATCGTCATCGGTATAGTAAAGGTATACTAACCCCTGCGTCTAAACCCCGTACAATTTAGACGTATAGAGAGAAGAGGAAGTAAAATTCCTTGCATTCTTAACCCCAGCAAAGGGACCGAAATTACGCAGAAAATTGGTTAAAACGGTAGATTTCCTGACTTGTATTCAAGAGGTGTATAAATCGAATTTTGGACGGGTCACCTGACTTAATTCGTCATCGGTCGCATAAATTTCTGCCTTGCCTCGCCAGCACAGAAGATCTTTCTTTTGAGTTCCCCGGTATTGATGACCATATTTTCTGTCTCACGGATTTTGAGGGAGGGGTCCTGCAACTGCCAATTATCACATAGAACACACCGCGTCCTCTATTACTGTGGCACTGTCGTCGAAGAAACGCGTTTACCGCGCCATTCCCTAGCAACTGCCGCATCTTCCTGTTCCACTATTCCCGCTTTCAGCCGTAGCTTCATAATGTCTTAATTTTACAGCCTGAGAGATTTAACTTTTTCGAAAGCAAAGTTATTCGTAATTCCTGCATCCCGTTCTGAGTACAGAAGATTCTCACGCTGTTTTAAAAAACAGGAATATTATATCGAAAGTATAAAAAAGTTATCATACAGTAGTAAAACAACTGTATAAAAAATAAATACTATAATGTTACGCGTATATGTCTTTTATTGTTAGGACATTCAAATATCCAACCTAATAAAATTTTTTTCAATGCTAGTGGCGTGGGACTAAGTCTCTTGTACTGCAGCCACTTCTGGACTATTGTACCAGCCCCAGATGATAGGTGAGGGTGATTGTGGAGCAATTGGTGGAATGAAGATTGGCAGGGGTAACCGAAGTACTCGGAGAAAACCTGCCCCAGCGCCACTTTGTCCACCACAAATCCCTCTTGATCAGACCCGGGATTGAAGCCAGCACTAAGCGCTTGAGCTATGGCGCAGCCAATCTAATAAAACTAAATAAAATTATATTAAACAATTTCCATTACAACTTACTGTTGCTGCTTCAGACGGTGGCCAGCAAACTGCATGGGACAGAGGTCGAAGTGAAGATCCTGAAGACCAAAGAAGAGTGCGATCATGTTCAGTTCCTCATCACCGAGCTGTCTGGACCAGGGAAGGCCTCTCGACCGGAAGCTGAACAGATTGAAACCCTCTCCATAGGTAATCTGCAACAAGATTCGATAAAACACGCGCTCAAGTAAGGTACATTGTATTACATTCAGAATTTGACTGCGTACAGTGTATGTAAATTTAACAAATTTTTTCAGTATTAAGAAAATAATAGATTTAGGAATAATGTTCTGTGTTCATAAATATGCAGAGTACATTTCTTTATAAGAAAAAACTCTTGAAAAAAAGGAGTAGGTCATAAATTAAAAGTGAAATGAAATTCAACTTCCTCAGCCTCTGATTCTAAAATATATTCACTGAGTTTTATTTAGCGAGACGTTTCAAGCTGGGTAGTTTTGATGATAGAATTATTTTGAGTGATGATCTGAAAGGGATGCGGAAACATGCTGTCGTGGCCTATTGTAAGGTAAATTCTGCTTGGAGGAATGAACTTCAGAAAAGAAACTCAGTCAGATTAACCTGTCCTTTGGTCTCATATTTTAACCTTTTGAAGCTCCACGGGCTCAGTCTGTGTGCAGAGGCTAGCCTATAGTCTGGATGAACCGAGAATCAGGGTTCGATTCCCCGATGATGGATAGATTATTCTCTTTTCTACGGTTTACAGATGGCTATGACGCCCCTTCTCTCCAACGTGTACCGGTGGCTTAGCCTGGAGGTAAGGTGAGAGACGGAAGCCTTTAACCGCTCACCTTCACACAGTAAATTGTTATGCGATCCCTGTGATTAATTAATCGATTAAGTACTACACCATGAAGACTTGAGGGAATGTAGGTATAACTCCACCATTCTTCACCTTAGCATTGCTGGAGGTGAGTGGTCAGCTTTTGGCTATGGACGAATTCATCCCGGGAAAGAACACTGGGACCCATTAACAGGAGACTAGATGGGCCTCAGAGTGGGTTTCGACGTTATGGAATAAAGAAATATTATTTGCCCCTGCCGGGAACCAAACCCCTCAAATCCATCCCGTATCCCATCGCTATACTGGCTGAGCTCTCTTGGTTCCTTATACTCTTCCGACCGCGACATAATAACGAAATAAAGTACACAATTTCCTAACTGTTTCCGTGACAAATTTGTGTATGTGGTTAGAAATTAATGTCTTCATGAGATACTTATATTTATTCATTTCATTTTCCAAAGACCATCAGCGAATCCGCAGGTTAAGAACCCTCGGTTTCAAAGATGAAATCATCAACCTAATTTTTCTTAAAAATATTGTATCGTAGCGTCATGTTGTGTTGTATATCCGATTATGTTTATCTCCGTCACCACAATTTCTCTATAGATAAATTATACGCTAGTTTTCTAATACAGGTTTCGGCCTTTCGGTCTTCGTTAGACACACACATTCACTTTTATCTGTAGGAGATGAGCAGTGCAGCCAACAGTGACGATGCGAACTTGAGGATGGCTGGAAGGCCGAAACGTAGTAAACAAAATATTGTGTGTGGCCGCGCCACAGCTCAAGCGGTTAGTCGCTGCCTTCCTACCGCGGCGGCCCGAGTTCGATCCCGGGTCTGATCAAGTGGGATTTGCTGTGGACAAAGTGGCTCTGGGGCAGGTTTTCTCCGAGTACTTCGGTTTCCCCTGCCAATCTTCATTCCACCGATTGCTCCACAATCACCCTCACCTATCATCTGGGGCTGGTAAAATATGCAAGAAGTGGCCGCAGTACAAGGGACTTAGTCCCACCCCACTAGCAATAAAAAAAATATTGTGTGTACTAATGTTGTGTTGAGAGAAACAAATTGAAATATTAGGTATTCATAGGTTTTAAGGTGTTTAACGTAATCCACCACGTGATTAAATACACTCTGTTTGCTATGGGAAGGAGTGTGCGGTTACTGTCGCTTAGTGACTCACACAGTTACATCATTAGAAAGTTTTTATTATTATTCTTAGTGGGGTGAGACTAAGTCCCTTGTACTGTGGCCACTTCTGGCCTATTGTACCAGCCCCAGATGACAGATGATGGTGATTGTGGAGCAGTTGGTGGAATGAAGATTGTCAGAGGAAAACCGAAGTACTCGGAGAAAACCTTCCACAGTGCCACTTTGTCCACCACAAATCCCTCATGACCAGACCCTGGCTCGAACCCGGGTCGCCGCGGTGGGAAGACAGCGACTAACAGCGACGGACCGATCCCACGTCCGAGGAGTCATACCGACTGTGTACAGATTTAAGAAACTGAAAGAGCGGCCAAGGTCCAACAAAAGGCTGTAGAGCCATAGGTAGATAGACCAGTGTTCGTACTTCGATGGGAAATTCAAATGTACTCGTACTTACACACGGTTCTTCTTACGTAAGTTTGGCTATACAAGGTATGACGTAGCCTGGTTCGTAGTATGGATGGACTTTAATATGGATAGACCAGGAATAACCACCTACCAATCGGCGCTTCAACCCTGGGTGAGTCATGGCCTCCTCTACAACCAGTCTCCACAACCAATGCGTGCTGCCATAGGAATGGACCCACGCATGATGACCCGAGACTGGTTGTTAGGTTTCTGAATAAAATTCCTTTTACAGGATGAGGTTGTTAGCCTCATTCCCAACCCCCAACCTGGAGGACCAGAGTATGTCTCTTAGTATGGACTCTACACTTTGACCTTTCCGGCATAGGTGACCCTACTGGTAGTTAAACTACGGCCGGCATAGCTCTCCTGGTTACATAGTCATGCAAGCCCCACCACCATGTCAAGGGGGAGACGACTTTGGGGGGGACCAGGAACTTAGATGGGTTACTCACACAAAGCAAGAACATCAACAGTGTTAAAACGAAACAAGTTATTCTGCTTTGGGGAAATCTGTGGATATAATGTAATTTAAATCTAAGCTGTAGCAAGTTTCAGAAAGTTCCGCGAAGTGGTGTGAATTGTGTGCAGAGCCCAAGGTGAGTCCCGCCACATTCTGTCGCGTGTTCCCGTTCCACCTGCTGTTTGACCGTGAGCTGAGGGTAGTGCAGACAGGCAGTACGGTGGCTAGAGTCATGCCCCGGGTCACCAGGCCCGGCTGTCGCATCACCGACATTCTGGACATGGTCAGTAGCTCTCTGTGTGTGCATGTATGTCATTATGTTGTGTATGTCCTCTAAGTCACAAACCAAAGGCAACACGATATGCCTTTTTCAAAATATGTTCGGTATATGCACAGTTAACACCGAGGCAAAAGCACAAATGTTTCATCAAGAGAATGGCGTGAAATTTTTGTGGTGTGATCTCTCTGCATACTGCATAATGAGGAGCTTCATAACTTGTACGCTTCTCCAAGTATAATTAGAATGATCAAGTCAAGGAAAATGAGGTGGGCAGGGCATGTAGCACGAATGTGGGAGACGAGGAATGCATATAGGATATTGGTGGGAAAGCCAGAAGGAAAGAGACCACTGGAAAGACCAAGGCGTAGGTGGGTGGACAATATTAAAACGGATCTCAGACGGATAAGATGGGATGGTATGGATTTGATTGATCTGGCTCGGGATATGGACTGCTGGAGAGCTCTTGTGAACACGGTAACGAACCTTCGGGTTCCATAAAATGTGGAGAAGTTCTTAAGTAGCTGCACAATTGGCAGCTTCTCAAGAAGAGTTCAGCTCCATGAGTGAGTTATCTCTCTACATGCAATGATGGGTCGATTTTAAAAATGTTATTCCATATGGTTCTCGACTTATGGGACAGTCTCTCTCTCTATATGGTTATATATATATATAAGCCTCTTGCATTTGTCTAGTTCTTAGTTCTTAAAGAACCTGAGAAGTCGAGGGAATATACCGCCTCCATTGTCATGATCCAAGAATAAACCATGCAGAAAGCAAGAAGCAGGTGTAAACCTGAGCTCGGGTGTTTCTGATAGTTTCTTGCATTGTTCATTTCTTTACACGGAAAACGCGGGTGAAATGTTCCTCTCCGAAACGTCAAGCTTGCAGCCTACTTCTGTTGGTTTTTGCTTGTGACCCTGTGACCCTGAACATGGAAAGTTTATATTCTTCGGAGAAGGAGGGATTCCTCCTAAATCTATCGCGTTACAACCCAGATCATAAAGAATGATAAAGCTATTCTTGTAATAGATCGTGGAAGCCCATAGAGTTGTTGGACATCGAGGCTCACAAATTTCTAGATATTCGTTTCACAGATGGCGTTGAGGTTGTCAGCCTTATGTGCCTGGTATTCATTTTTGTTAGAGGTTAAGTTGACCCCAGAGCCATAGTGAGGTTGGAAGGATCAGGTCAATTGAATAATCCAATAACCTCGTCGGGAATCGAAACCGCCACATTCTGGCTTGTGGCATAGTTAACTCAACCAACTACACTACCGCGTGCCCAACCCGGAGGGCCATACTCATCGTTTGTATGTCTCTTTATGAATGACTGGTTTCTTGTTCTATTTAACGATTCTCTTTCAACCACGTAAGATTTATCACCATCATGCAGTATGCTTTATTAAGCATAAATTCATGTTTATTAACTTTTTCGGTGTAATTTCATATGGATTTGAAAATATGTGATAAAGATGCGGTCTTGACCTATTTACTGTCTCTTATTGTTGCATTAGCGTGGAATAACTGAGCAAACTGGAGATAATATTAGGATAGCCGGCCTCCAAGCCGATAACCCAAAACCGCGAACTTCAAAACACAAAACGAGAATACAAACCTTTGAACCGGATATTTATTTGTGTGAACTAAAAACTGGTACATTGTACTAACATTTGTGTGTAGTACCAACCACTTCTGTCTCTCGCTCTCCAGTCCTGACTGATGCAGAACTGAAAGTATGTTATATGTAGTTTCCTTGCTATATTTATGTTTGAATCTATTGTTCTGATACCATATTACATAATAAAAAGAGTATTTTAGGTGTCCTTTAGGAGGTAAAACAAAATACGCCTCAATTTCAGACAATGTCTGTCTATTCATCTGTAACTTATCAGCGCATAAAGTGTTTAGCCAATCAGATTAAAATTCAACATTGCGGGACTTTCGCTTGAAACTGTTAGACAGTCAGATTATCAGTCATGTTAATCCATACCAAAGCCTGTATACACAAGATTTTAAATAAACTGTTTCACGCGTGACATAAATTATTTTAATTTTAGCGAATATCGTGTAGATCTTGTATGAATCGACGTTTCGGAGGAACGTATCGCCTCCATCTTCAGGGTAGAAAAATCCGCGAGCCAGGAGCCAGCGTGAACAGGTGGCTCAAGCTGCACTATGCAGTCACCTCCTCATGCTGGAGAGAACATGTTCCTCCGAAACATCGTTTCATGTAAGATCTATAAGGCGCCACATCCCAGAAGACTACATTCTTCATAGCCACCTCTGTGAAAATCTCAACTCTTACATCGTTATGAGAGGTCTCTGTGTAATTTTAATTGACAATTGTTTTATTTTCAGCCATATCGACAGATGACAAAGTCAAATTTATAAGAAGTTATAAATTCACTTTTTATTTAGGCATATATCATTCAGATTTTCGTAAAATTCAATTTGAGAGGCGTTTGCATGGCTTTCATCAGTAATTTTGATTTTTAAGAGTAATGAACGATCACAACATGTAACTTAAGTAATGAAATAAGTGGACTTCTGCATGCATCAGATAAACCGTTTCACATGTTTCATTGTCCTGCATAGCGGTACAGTGTGTCAAGCAGAATTTACTCCAGGCTGAAAGATAAACAAGGTCAGCGTAACTTGCATTGCTGCTTTCGGAAGTTGTATGACTCTATGACGTGTGCGACTGTTGTCTTCCCATACTTATCAATAGCTCATCACCGATTCCTATCACAATTTTAGGTGCGGCCTCATTTAGAGCTGACTTTTGAAAACATCCTCTCCCATATCAACACTGTGTATGTCCTGAAGACGAAGCCAGGCGTCATGAAGACTGAGGATCCAGACGGCCCTCAGGAGTTCTCGTACCTGAGACTGAAGGTATTTTGTCTATTTATCTATGGCTCTACAGCCCTTTGTTGGACCTTGGCAGCATTTGTAGTTTCTTAATCCTATACACAGTCGGTAGGACTCCTTGGACGTGGGATCAGCCCACAGAATTTAATGCCTCGAATGGAATTTGAGCCCACGATCCCAATGTTTGAGCGGGTGAAGACTGGTCATGTATTAGACTGCTCGACCACTGCGATCGGCAAAGTACGCTATGCTCTGTCCTTAATTAATTCATGTTGTCTGTAGAAGGAATGTAAACACGTACTAAGTAGGTACAGTATAAATACCTGTCCTCTGTTGGCGATCAGCATGAGAAGCTTACCACTTTGATGTCCATTGTGATGGGGCAATAGTCAGTCTGAACGTCAGCAGAGGAACGCAAGACGAGTATAGCGCTAATGTTTGTGAGACTCATAACATTTCTCACTAGAACTAGCGGCTGAGACGTGAACCAATTACATGTACCATGGCTTGAAAGAAAGTAAAGGAGTGGAGTGAAACACGGAAACATAAAGTACACAGTTGTGCCTAATGTACAAATGTGGAACATTGACTTTCATTGAATGCGAATTCTTTTGTTAAATGTATTTGTTAACAGCAAAATTTGACTCAGCCACCAGCTCTAGTGAAAACATTGGCAACCTGACGAGGGGCCGCTTCTGTGAAATCCTCTCATATACTGGGATTGTAGAATAATTAGTGGATGGGTAAAGGGCAGAGGATCCGATTTTCAATAAATGTAAGAGTTATTATACTACAGTGATACGCTGAACTATACACCTTCCTTCCCCTCAGTGCTACAGCTCAGGGTGAGCTTTGGCCTCCTGAACAGTCTGCCTCCGTTCTTCTCTATTCTTCACCTTTCCTCCCCATCCTTCACTTCAGTGCAATCCCTCCGAGACTGGTTATCTGGTTTATAAACAATAATATTCCGAACGGTTTCCGAGACAGAGCTACTATTTCACTGTACAGACGAGCAACACGCCATGTTCTCGCACGGGTTGCAAAGTGCATTGATTTTGGCGGTGGAATTTGTCGCTTGAACAATAAATACTCATATTAGAAACAGTAGGTAGTATCTCTTCCTTATCATCAATTTTGTGATTGTACAGTGAAATAATTCCATCTCGGAAACCGTTCGGAATATGACAAATGTACGATTTTGCTTAGAATGGCAGACACTATGACATCCCAGAATACTGACCTTTCCTCCTGGGACACTCTATCTAGCGTGAGATACTGACAGTCACTGCAAATCCGCAAAGGAATATAACCGCAGCTGGGCATAAACTGGTGTAGTTGAAGCCAATTCCGTGTTAGATTGAATTCATATCTTAACAATGGATAGACCAACTGGAGCTTCAGGATACTGTGTGTGATTCCATTATCAACTTTATTACTTTATGTTTATTGACAAATCAACTAATTATATCAGCACAGTATGATTGTCTGATAATTAACTACATCTAGGAGAGCAATTCTCAAGAATCTTATAGTGGTTCAGCTGGTCAATTTAAACTCGAAATTCCGTGTTAGATTATGCCGGCTATTTTACGCTAAACTCAACCAAATGTATTTCTTCGAAACTATCTTTAGAATTATCCTGCCATCTATGCCTAGGTCTTCCAAGTTTTCTACTACTTCCAGGAGTTCTGACTGATATTTTGTATTTAGTAGTTATTACACATAAACAAAAAAGGATATGGCTATATAAGGATCGTTTTACTTATAACAAAATTGATCTAAAGTTTTATACAGCAGAAACTTAAAAAAATCGTATTTTATTCTTGTTCTCAGGGGCAGATGTTGTATATCCCTGAATCGGATTTGGTTATCTTCTTGTGCTACCCAAGCGTCATAAACCTGGATGATCTGACAAGGTGAGTCAGAAGTCTGATCAGTTTTACATGAAGTTTCCAAGATATGCATTTAAATGTTCAAAGCAACAGAATTAGACTTGGCATCACAAGTGATGACTTATGTGAGCGCAGAAGAGGGAAGGCCGGGGGAAGCAGTGTACGCCTCAACATGCAAGCAGTAAGCAAATGAATCACCGCCAGATGTAAAACAGTTATCGTACGATTTCTTTGCACAAAGCCAAGCAGCAGACTGACCTGCTTCAACTCGGAGCGGCGTTCCACAAGATGTACTTGTCGATATTCGTGACCCTTCACAAGAGGACGGAATATTGTTCTTCAGTGCTTGTCGTCTCTCGTAGGGCGAGCTATGCGGTTTATTGCAGGAAACTAGTTTCCTACTGTTTACAACTGAGCAATTCCTATATGAATGTAGGCTATACAGGCATATTTAATTTCATATAAAATGTTTATTCCTCTGTTTACCAATTCTAATAATGTCTTTCATTTGCGAACTTGTGATGTTAATTCTGTTGAAGTATCTTGAATATATTTACATAGAACTTTCCGAAATATTCAACTGTAGGTTAATAGGTTTGAGTCCCAAATATCTATCCTACAAAATTACTCTAAAACAAGCGTACAATTTTCTATCCATAGTATAAAAATATAATGAGCCTCTCCTGGTGATATTTCGACGCTGTGTAAGGCAAGTCTTTGGAGATCAACATGGCTGATAATAGGAATTTTCTCGCTTTTGGTAAAAATCTCTAATG